CTAATAATTCTCACAAAAGGCAAAAAATATACTCGCCTCAGTAAAAATGCTTATTAATTTAAATACTGCACACAGCTAAATTTTCTCTCTCTCTCTCTCTCTCTCTCTGTCTCTCTCTCACACACACACACACATACACACACACACACATTCTTACCATACATTCTTTTAAGGGAGAAATAAGTTTATCGTGAGATAGCTTGTATGATTAGTAGCAGGATTTCTTTTGACCCCATATACAGATATCTTGGACCTGATGCTGCATATACATTAATATCCAAGTGTAAGAATTGTTTATGATGATTGTTAAAACATGCTTCTAATGACATAATAATATGTATTGTTATCAACATTACCTTCTAGGGACAGGTTTATGGAAAGAATTCTGATTATTTTAACTTATAATACTAATACTGCAGGTTCAACAGATAGGATTGCCTATATTACTGAGAAATTATAAGATAATAATCAATACGATTATTTCATCTATTGTCTATTAATTACTCTCTCTATATATGTTTTTCCCAAACAAGGCCTTATCTATAATTTAACCCTAATTACTACCTTTGTCTTAGAACTTCTAAGAAATATATTTTATTGGATCAAGTTTTGTGAAATACAAGCCTCCAGATACAAGGCAGACATTTTACTATGCTAAATTAAACTTTCAGGTTACTATGTAACTCGATTTTTGTATTTTGTCAAGGCTTAGTGATATCCATTCTAATTCTGCCACTAGGATATGTTTGTTTAGGCATTTCTGGACTTGGTAAGGTCTCTCCTTACTGGATCCTCCACACTGTTTCCAGAGTTATCTTAGTACCACGAGAACCTGATCCAGAAACTTTTCTGCTTAAGCAGAAAAGGACTTCTGATGGAAATTGCAAAGCTTTAGGATAAGTTTAAAATACACTTTCTGTAGCCTGTAAGAATTTTTCAGGCAATGAATTCTTATATATCATATGTGTCCTTTTTCATGAAGGTCTTGATTTATGCTAGAATGTGCTTCTTAAATACTCTTCTTCAATGAATTATTTTATTAACATGTTTCCCTTCCTTAATTCTGACAGATTTAATTAATTAGTTGGCTAGTTAGTTCTCAATTTGTTGGTATTTTACTTGTGTTCCAAGTGTTTATCTCCCTTGTATCAACAGGGAGGTTATAGTGACTCTAACATATTAAGTATTTCATTAATATTGATTGATTGCTTTTAACATTGTAGCTTCAAAGGAAACCCATGATATACTCAAATTTTTATAAAAGAAATTAATTTTTGACAAATTTGACCTCTGCTATAAGTGCCGAATAGCTTTGATCATATATTGGTGGGGAGATGAGGGAATATTTTTGTTTATATGTAAAAACATAATCTTGTAAACACCATATTTTAAAATCATCTGAATCAAGACCATAATAAAAATCAAGACAAAAACTTATGGAGAATTAATATATTGTTCTACACTGTAGTGAGAAATTGTGAGGCTTCCTTCTTGCCTATGCTCTTCAATACATGGCCATTTACAGAGCATTTATTATCTGTACA